CAGAGTGTAGTGACCGAGAATGAGGGAAATGCACCCATTCGGACGCCGAGACCCAGCGTCTTCGCCGCTGTGGGATACAGACCTACATGCTGTTTGGACAGTTCATCCCTTCTTGGATTTTTTTCCCCCTCTACTTGATTTTTAAAGGTTCTTTAAAAAAAAAACCCATATTTTGAATACGAGTAATTTTTCAGCTATGTTCCCCTCCAAAATCATTTATCCCAGTCATTGGCCTGTCTTTCTCTTCTTTTAAGAGTTTCCATCATAATGTGGGTGTGGTGGAGCAAATCTGTAATCTCAGCACTCTTGGGGTGCAGAGGCAGAAAGACCACCAGTTCGGGCAATTTAGGGACTTCGCAAAACCCGGTTTTAAACAAATGAAGAAAATATTAAAAAAAAGAAAAGGGCCGAGAATGTAGCTCAATGCGAAGGGCCTGGGTTCAATTCTCAGTACTGGAAAAAAAAAGTGTCAGGGTGTACGAACTTTTAATTTGATGAGAATTGAAATTATCAGGCTTTCGCCATTTTTTCTGCCATCCTTTTTTCTTCCGCTGGCTTCCTTCCTTCCATCCTTCCTCTCTCTTTCTTTTTTTGCGGATTGAATTTATTTTTCAGTACTGAGGACTGAACTCAGGAACTGCATGTCGTTTGAAGCTTCACTTTGAGCTACATCCCCAGCTCTCCACCTCCTTTTATTTTTGAGCAGTGTCTCACTAAATTGCTAAACCGCTAACCCCGCCACGCGTCTCTATTCTCTTGCCCTAGCCTCTGTCCCGGAATTACAAACAGAGGTCCACCACGCAGGACTGGATTTGGTGTCATATCCAAAAACCAATCACCAAGCTTGAGGTCACACTAAGGTACTTTTCTTAGAAATTTTGGTTTTGCATTTTTAAATTTATGTCCGTTGACTACTTGAATGATTTTTTTATGTAAGCTATAAAGTTTGTATATATGTCAATGCTTTCTTATCATTTACTGTTGGTCCACCACCGATTTGTGGAACCGTGCTTTCCTTTCCCGCCAAATTGACTTTACCTTTTTGACATATTAAACTGACTATATTTACACGGGTCTAAGTACTTTTGTGATAAGTGTTAACATTTAAATGTATGAATTCAAATTGTTTATTTGATCTTCAGTGTATGTGATCTAGTCTGGGTTTAAAAACAATTTGCTGGGAATATTACTGTGTTTATATCAGATCTTTAGAATGCGTTTAGAGTTCATTGTCATCCTAATAGTGTTGAATCTAGCAACCTTGAACAAAGAACATCTCTGCATTATTTTTTTAAAAAGCAATTTGTTTGTGCAGACAATGCCTGACTTATGATATCTCAATTTATGATGGCATAGAAATGATATGAATTCAAATTTAAAATTTAATTGTTAGCTTCAGCTAGCTGTATCTGATCCTCCGGCGATTCTGGGCAGTAGCAGTGAGCCATAGCTCAAAGAGGGGCTCCACAATCACCAGGGAAAGCAGCTGACAACTTTATAGAGCATGGTGTTGCTAAGCTACTAGGTTCAATATATTGTGTATATTCAATGCATTTTTGACTTATAATATAGTCAATATATGATGGGGTTGAGGGAACATAACAGCACACTGTCAGTGTATCAGTAAACCTAGGAGGTTGGTACTATTAATTATAGCCATTTTACCGTTAAGAAAAACTAAGGTTCAGCGAGGTTAAATAGTAATAATGATAATAAAAGTAGTTAATTGGGTGTAGGTGGCACACTTTTGTAATCCCAGCACTTTGGGAGGCTGAGGCAGGAGGATGGCAAGTTGAAGCCTTCTTGCGCAACTTCAAGACTTTGCAAGACCCTGTTTCAAAATAAAAAATTTTAAAAAGGGCTGGGGATACAGTACATATCAGTTATAACCAGCAATGTCAATGGCCTCAACTCACCAATCAAGAGAAATAGACTGGCGAAATGGAATAAGAAGCAAAATCCAACAATATGTTTTATACAAGAAACACACCGAGTGCAAAAAGAACCCCTTAGACTGAAAGTGAAAAGATAGAAAACAATTCTCCATGTGACAGGAGCCCAGAAATAAACAGGGGTAGCAATCTTATTTGCAGACAAAGTAAATTTCAAACCAAAACTGATTCTAGTATTATTGATGTAGGACTGTGCTGTATCATACCTCTATGAATATAAAATATCTTGTACCTGCTTTATGATACATAGTAGGGACCGTGCTTTATCAGAGCTACATTTAATGATATTACTCTAGAATATTCTCTTTCCAGATAATGATTAAGATGCTAATAAAAAAAAATGGTCCCAGGTACCACAACAGCAACAGAACTTTGCTGTTTTCTGGGTATTATTCTTTTCTTTGTTTTTTTTTTTTT